ACTCGGGAGGGGTGAGGAGAGAGGTTGCCAGTGAAGACTGAGGCAAAAAGTTGTTGAGTACCTCAGCTTTCTCCTCATCTGCTGTTACCAGTTTGCCGGTCTCACTCATGAGCGGGGGTACGCTTTCTTTGACCATCTTTTTCCAGCTGACATACCTGTAGAAGCACTTCTTGTTATTTTTTGCATCCCTTGCCAAGTTCAGCTCCAGCTGTGCCTTGGCCTTCCTGACCCCATCCCTACACAACCAGGCAGCTTCCCTATACTCTTCCCAGGAAGCCAGTCCCTGCTTCCACTGCCTGTGCAGTTCCCTCTTCTTCCTTAGTTTGACCAGCATCTCTTGCCTCAGCCATGCCCGTCTCTTCCCTGCTCTGCCCGACTTTTTACACTTGGGGATCGAGAGCTCTTGCGCTCTCTGGAATACATCCTTAAAGACCTGTTCATCTGTAGAAATGTAGAATGGTTTGGGTTGGAAGGGGCCTTCAAAGATCCTAGTTCAAACTCGCTGCCATGGGAAGGGACTTCTTTTGCTAGATTGTGTTGCTCAAAGCCTCACACAACCTGACCTTGTACACTTCCAGGGAGGGGGCATCCACAGCTTCTCTGGGCAACCTGTTCCAGTGCCTCACCACCCTCATTGTAAAAAATAATTAACTATCCTCTTATGCTTTAGATTTCTTATCGTGGTGCTGTCTTTTGTATTTATATTCCTGGGTTCTCATAAAACTAGTTGGGTGATGCTTTTTATTGCTGTAGGTTTATGGGTTTTTTAATCACTTTGTCATTGCAGAATGGGTGGACTTACTGTCACAACCTTAGTAACTATATAATTTCATGATTACTTTCTTATTAGTCCAACACATTTTAGTTCAGTCTCCACTTTCTCTTAGTCCCTGTTCAGAATTTCATTGTTATTTGTATCTGCCAAATACTTAGTGGTGTGTGTCATAGTGCTTTGTGGCTTTTCATAAACCTTATCTTTACTCTGTTCACATGCTGTATATACTCACTCATTTGCAGAAACTTGGTTGTGTGCAGAGTGGTAATAAATAGAAGTTTACGCAATCACATTTGTAGCTTATTTGAAAATAAGCTAATTCTTCTCATTAGCGTTGCAAAAATAGGAAACTCCAGAGCTAGAACATGCTAAAATAAGACTTGTTTGTGCAGTCTTTGTCCAGTCAGCTTTGGTTATATGTAGGATGTACATTCTTTGTTTGTGAACTTTCTCCCTCAGGACTAGCATCATGTTCAGGAGGAATCTGACTTGCTGTGAGCTGCTGTTCAATATGTTGTTATGTATCTTGCCACCGATCTTACTCATTGCATAGTCTTCAAACCTCATGTTGAAAACAAAGGATTCTTTTCCTGTGAGGTTAGCACAGTGCCCAGTGCTCACGAATACTAAGAGGGTTTTAATCTAACTGTGCCTTCATGAGGTATACAGTAGCTGATATTTTATAGATAGAGACCCAGTACCCACTGTGATAAGAGTTAACAGTATCTATTGATTTTCCTCTGTATTTGAAAATTTCTAACCTCTTCCCAAGTAGTTTTTCAGGTAAGAGTACTTGAACAAAGTATGGCTCCCAGTGGCTTCGCTTTCTGGTGTGAACGCTAAACAAAGGAGTTGGGACCAGAGTCCGCTTCTGTTCTGGCAACGTTTGGGTTGTTTGCCCCTTCCAACATCTGCAGTATGGGAAGATCCTAGAGGAAGCAGCCTCCTCCACAGTAATTCTCAGTCACTGTGGTGTAGATCTCCCTTATGTCCCAAATGCAGCAGAAGTCCTTTGGAAAATGAAAATGCCATTCTGCGATGACACCTAGTACTGGAACGTGAATGGCAAAAGGCTGAAATGAGACCATAAGCTGCTCGAAGGCTCAAGTATGTTCAAGTTACTGTGCTTTTAACAGTTTAGGGTGTAGCCCTGTAGGTTTTCAAAGCAAGTTGAGAGCAAAGCATGTTCTCTTGTAGGGACAACCACTTTGAGATCCCATTTGAAACCATTACTTGTGCTACTCTGACAACAAGTGGGCAGTACTTTGTGGGTGGGGAAAGGAGACAGTTAGTAAACTTTACAGGCATATGACAGCAAAAGTGAAAAGATAATGTTTGCCTAAATTCTTGGGCTCTGTTATAGACTCTCTGCTCCAGGAAGAACGTATTGTTTGTCAGAAAATTTCATGCCGTTTTCCCCCATGTTTACTGCTGCTCCTTATCTTTTGCTTTCTCCCTCTTCCCCAGTTGTTCCTCGTCAGAAATGACATCTCTTCATCTCAGCATTTTTCTTCACTGGCTTCCATTTCCTAGCCCAGTTAGACACCTTTCCTCTTTCTCCCCCTTTCTCGTAGATCCTTATATTTAACATTGAGGTCCTAGTCTTCTCTTTGATATGTTTCTGTCTTTGTTTTTTCTCTGTTCTGTCTCCATTCTCTGTCCTCTTCTGACTTCTGGTCCTGGGTTACTGATACCATCCTGGGCTTCCAGTACCTTCCCTTTCTCTTCCCATACAGCTGTTTTCATTTCTGCATTGTGATACCCAGCCTCCTGGCTCATGGAATTGCTGTTCTCGCATGATGTTCCAGGGCTCAAGGAATTGCACAGATTTTACTACCTATTTAATCAGACACACTGGCTACTTTGCCTTATATGGATGCAGCAATCCATGGTTAAACATTTGTATGACATTGCTGAGAAACTTATTTCACTGAGTGCCCATTGACTGGAAGACATGTTTACAAATGAACTCTGCTGGCTGCTGTTGTGTTATTCTACTTCTGTTCTGACTGACTTGGACAAACTGAGCCTGTCTCCTTACGCAGTAAAGTAAATAAAAGTTTGGGATGAGTATCTTAATCTATAACTGTAGTCTGTCTGCTGAATTTACTTTGAAGTTTTTCATACTTGTACCCCAAAAGTTTGTGTAGGGGTTCCTTTGTAGTTGAATGATTAACCACATACAATATTTTCCAAAGAAAGTGATGGTTCTGTTGTGATCTGGAGTGGCACTGTAAGATCCATTAAAAGCATGACCGGAATCTTCAAGGTCATACTGACATGAAGGCCACAGGGTATGTTCATGAGTGTATTTGGGAGT